ACCGTGAGGTTGACAACGATACATAATGAGTCAAAATGGACAATATCTGCTAGTTGTGATATCTTGGGGTGTCACAAATGGTATAAGAACCAGACACCGTGGAGTGTCAGTGAAGACACTGTCTCCCTTGGGGAGTGGATTGTAAGATCCCACATTGGTTTGAGAGAATTTCTTATAAGAGTGTAGAAACTTGTCTCATGAAACCCTGAGAGTGACGACGATACATAATGGATCAAAGTGGACAAACTCGAAAACTTGGGCAACTATAAAACGTGTCTTTTGCATCGAATCAATATATCATCAATTCTCTCTATTAATGAATTGGTAAAAAAGAGAAAGAAATCTATAATACCTTAATTAAAAGTTTTTTGAAGACATTATTATATTTAGATTAGTGTATTGATGGGCATTTAATTTGTTCTCGAGGAATCTTTTTGTGAAGAGAAAAGAAAAGACAAGAAAAGTAATGAAAAGGAAAGAAAGTTGAGAAAATAAAGGAAAAGTAAAAAAAGAATATTAATGTGTAATGCTTGCCTTTCACTCTATCTATGTCATCAAATTAAATATTTCCAATATTTTTAATTGATCTCGAAAAATATCTCTTATAAGTTCGTTGATTTATCTACGACGTGTCGTGGCCTACTCGATATGAACATACATGATGGATCACAAAATATTATCTTTCGGGTTTTATTTGTTAGTAGTCGTCTTTTTGTTTGAGTATAAAATGGTTGGTTCTTTACAATTGGATTTTTCTTTAATAAATATTTTTAGTATGCATGTAGTAACGATCCCAATTGATATGGATCTTGAAAAATCGAGTTACACGTAAGATTTATGATTTTGATTTACGAAAAATAAAAATAAATAAATAAATAAAACTCTTACTAAATGCTACCTATTTGTAACGTATTGTTTTTTTTTTTTTTTTTTAATTAGATCTAAAAGGTTTGAATCTCGAGAATTTGGAACATTGGTTAAGTCAAACACTACCTTGGTCCAAAGTCGAAGATTCAATCTTGAATTTGAAATTCGACACCTAATGGTTTGANCATGTTACACACCCGTTCTTTTAGCATGTTCTATTATTACTCGCACATCTCTTGGATAAATTTTTAAAAACTACTCTGTTGGATGAAAGTTTCACATTAGCTAATTTAGTAAATGATCATCTGTTTATAATCAATGAATACTTTCTCCATTAGTATGAGACTTTTTGGAAGCTTATGTTCAAAGTCGTGTTCGTCAAACACACTAACGTAGAATAATATTAATAATANTAATAATAATAATAAACGAAAAAAAAAAAAAAAAAGAAGAAGGCTAAAAATAATAGTCAAGGAGGAAGAATAGTATGAGAATAAGAGTCCCAATGCCATGAATTTTGTTGATCTCCACCAAACTGCCACGGCGAATCATAGCCGGCCAGCAGCAGCCCATCACTCCCTCCGACCACAAGATCCGGCAAATCAAACCACGTCTCTTCTTCCTCCTCCTCCTCCTCCTCCATTGGTGGTTTGAGGGTGGCTGCGTCTGCGGCGGCGGCCTGGATGTCCTTGGCGGAGAGGGAGGCAGGGCGGGGGAGTTGGTGTTTGAGTTCAGGGAAGTTGAGGAATGCACCACAGCCTTTGATGGCAAGAGCCGCCGCATCGTGTGCTCGTGCTGCCATCTCCGCGGTCGAGTATGTGCCGAGCCATATCCTTGATTTCTTCCTTGGCTCCCTTATTTCGGACACCCATTTTCCCCACGCTCTCCGACGAACCCCTCTGTACTTCCTCGTCAAGTGGCTCGATTCACTCTCGCTCTCTATGTTGCTCGTTGTCATCGTACCCCTCGGCCTCTTTTGGCTGTTATCGCCGGAGGAAGAGGTGGAAGAAGAGGCGGAGGAGGTGGTGGTGGGTTGAGAATGGTGGGAGTTTGTGTTCATTGTAGAGAATAGAGTGAGAGAGCGAATGGTGAGTTGTGATTGGCCTTTTATTTATTCATTTAATTAATTAAAATTAATTTTGGTTGATTTATTTTTATTTTTATGGGGAAATGACGTGGAATATTTATTTGTGGGGCAGGGTATAATAGGACATATATAAGGTAGATTACAGTTCAGCAGCTGGTTTGTTTCCCATGTGGATACTCTTACGTAATAATAATAATTATAACAATAATAATAATAATAATAATATTACCATAGTTTATATTTTGACCTTGTCTTACTCATTAATTACTCGTTGATTTTATTACACGACGTTGCTTTTAGAGTCGATATAATTTTAAATGTCTATAGATTTGATATCAATATAAGAGACTAATTGACATTTTTGTTATACGCTGTTTTATAAAATTCATGAGTTTAATTGTGACACCCGAGTAAAGGAAGGGTACCTGAGTGACTCGAGACTATATCCGAATGAGAGCGATTTTGAAGATAGGATGGTTACGAAAGACTTAGGAAAGAAAAGTTACTAACTGTACCAATACTGGGCACCTTTTTTTTCTTTTTCGGTGGCTCAATCATAAGAACCCTATGGTTAAGCGTGATTTGCTTGAAGTAATTCTATGTTGGGTGACTAAGATGCATGTGAGTGAGAATGAAGTATGTTCGAAGGACTCGGGGTGGTTTGTAGGGACTAGTCATTGTTGTCCAAGAATGTCGAGATCATCAGGTGCTAAATCTGGATATATCGTTGGTTTGTAGGGGTAGTTTTCACTCTTAAGAAGTGAGGAGTAGGTAACATGATCATTGTTGCTCGAGAATGTCAGGGTCATCAGGTGCCGAATCTGGATATATCGTCGGTTTATAGGGATAGTTTTCACTCTTAAGAAGCGAGGAGTAGGTAACATGGTCATTGTTGCCCAAGAATGTCGGGGTCATCAGGTGCCAAATCTGGATATATCGTTGGTTTGTAGGGATAGTTTTCACTCTGAAGGAGCGAGAAGTAGGTAATGTAACCATGTTACTCGAAAATGTCGGGGCCCATTAGATGGTGAATTCGGAGGGTCGAGAAGGCTCTTAAGTTATTTTTAAAAAAAATAATAATTAAAGTAATGTAATTGAAGAAAAAGAATGCATATGAATAGAGTATCCAAAGCTTTGTGGTTATGTCTTCCTCAACTTGACACTATTTATATCCCAACCTGTCTCTGCCACATCACAGTCTTCATGTTTTTTTTCTCTTCTTTTAATATTTCTTCACATCTTACTATATATTATTCTAAACATATAACAACAAACCAATTCTAATTACTTTCTCTGCCTATATAATTGGTGTTAACTTATCGTTTAATGGACTTCACATGTGTGATTCATAGTAAGGGAAGACGTCGTTGAGGACCTTAGGACAGTGGCCCCTCTTTCCGAGATGTATAATTTGACTAGCATCTCCTCGAAAACGGTTAAAAGAAGAGAAAACAATGTAATCTTAATGTATCCTTTCGGTAGTAGCTCCTATACGAGATTAGATATACGGGCATCTTTCAAGTTCAATCTCTGGTTACGGTTCAGAGCTGTCGGGGCAACCAACCACTGACCTAGTAAACTTTAACGTTAATTAAGAGACCCCAATTTTTTAGAAAACGGATTGCTAACTCGTGATATGCCAGGAATTAGGATTATCTTGCTTCATATCCTAACCTACAAATTAGTTTGTAAGCCTATGATCCAAGTCGTAAAAACTATGGATCATTTATATCCGTCCAAAATCAAAACTTAGATTCTTAATATGGAATTAGTAAATAATTAACCACAGAAACCGAAACCGAACATGTAGCTGAAATCTTAGTTCAACAAGAAATGATTAACTAACCATTAATTAACACTTTAGGAATCACACTAAAAGAGTAGTGGAATCATTTTTTTTTATTTATAAAATTTTCACAAATATTTTTCTTGCGTAACTAATTATTTTATCCATTGAATTATGCATTTAGGTCACGAGCAATAAGGATAATCATGTTCACAAACGATGCTCCTCTTTACCCATAACATCACATGAACATGTTCGAAGTTTATAACAATTGTAAGAACCTAAAAACTTTAATAGACAAAGTAACATGAATTTGTACCTTGTCACTGTCACATGTGACCTAAGAACAAGATATAGACTAATGAGGGAAAAAAAAAACATTTAATAATTGTCATTTATAACATTTCTAAGCTAACATAATTAAATCGGGTTTCTTTGAGCAAGTTTATTCTCTTTAGACCTCATGCTAGACACATTTCTTTTTATCAATCTCCGAGATACAAACTATTCCCTTTGATTCAAGGCCTTATTTATGTAGTAAGCCTATCATTTCGATACAAGCAAAATATGAAATTTTTTACAACATATCGATATTCATACGTTGGTAGAATTTGATATCGATAATGTAATTTTATGTGCTCATTACTAAAATTTTAGTTATGAACCAAAAACAAAATAAATCATAATTTCAATAATTTGAGTTAGGAAATTTCATTGATTTTTGGATCTTATTTAATACATTATCCACACGTTATTATTATTATTATTTTTTCCTTTTTGCTATGGAGGCCCTTCATTTTCTTGAAAATTAAACAAGGTGACTGATCACCAGGCTGATGCTTTAGGTGGGCTCACAAGTTGAGGTTAAAGTCAAATGGCAGCTAGGCTCACATGGCCCTAGCCCTTTATGGTCCAAACAAAATTCCTTTTCCTACATCTTTATTATTGGGCTTGAGCCTTGGCTATCCATGGGCCCACTAATGTCCTGACTGACATTGAAAATGCCATACGTCTAAAATAGGCTCATGATTCTTTTCCAATTAGAGACAGAATCTATGAGGATAATCATTCATTATTTTGCCCATTGGTTTTCTTTCTAAATCCTCCTAAAATCCTCAATCCAAAGTTCATAAAACTCTAATGCAAAGTTAGGCTTTTGCCGATTTTCTCGACATTTCGAAGTTCGTAAGATCAACCATAATAATAATCGAAGAATGACATTAAATCTCATATAGTTTAGATCCCATAACAAAACAAAACAAAACAAAAGATCATTATGCTGTAGGTTCACAATCACAAGTCGCATGAAGTGTAAGAAATTAACATCTCATTCATCAAACTTATTTGTAAAATGAGTCTCAACCGAAAATTCTGAGAAGAAACAAAGAGAAAAGGTAAACCACAACAAAGAAGAAGAAGAAAAAAAAAAAAAAAAAGTGGAATGGATGGTGTACACTACTACTTGGTCAAAAGAGCAAGCCGCTTGACAATGGGAAGATCGGAGAATAATCATGTACAAAAAAAAACTCTATCTAGTTAAAAGCTATTGAAGACGATACCACAAGCTATTTTCCATTAGAAAATGAGGTGTTTGGTCGGTAAATGAACTATTGATCGAGAAGGTCGTATGAAGGTAGTTCTTCGAGCCTTGAAATATCCTCCATTAGTAGCTCTTTTTCCAATTGTCGTCGTGTCGCTTTCATTACAGTCTACAAAAGAGAGGAAAATCATGAAACGTCATAGTTGTAAGAGTAAAAACTGAAATATTGAGGTTTAGGACAAATATAATGTCTTGACCATTTAAGGTATGCTCAAATTTAGACATTAGCCGGCCTAAATTTAAAATTTAAAATTTAACATTGAATTGTGTGTAAGGTAAGGTTTCAGTAATTGGAAATAAGTATAAGTTTGCCCAAAGGTAATATAAGTTCCTTCCCTTCCCTCTCAGACAACTTAAGCCTAGACTGAAAGACCTGCACGGAAGAGGACCTTTCCACAACACCGGCATTTCGACCTTATTGAACTTAATCCGGTCGTTGGAAAATTCTTTCCTCTTCTCTCATTCTAGTTTATTCGTGGTATCTGTTGTAGGACTCAAAGTCATTCCTGCCTCAACCCATTACTTTTGTTTAAGCCTCAAGCTTTCCACAACTCTAGTCCAAGCTCACCACTGTCAGAAATTGTCCTCTTTAGACTTTCTCTCCTGGGTTTCCCCTCTAAGCCCATCACTGCCCGATATTGTCCTCTTTGAAAATATTGGACCATTTCTCGATTTGTGCGTATCATGCTTGCACAGGGGCCATGCTAATCTTCTTTGTATCGTTGAGTGTCGTCAAAGACTCCTCGATTGCAGGAAACCCCATCACCTTCCCTTGAATATGATTTCTAATTTTAATTCCACTATTTCCTTATCTACTCCAATCCTTTTTCTTCAATCCACTTTTGATTCATCTTTCCAAATCTCCCTTGGGCGAGTTGCTTTGATACCAATTTGTAAGGTTAGGGGAACTATCAATTGGAAATCAAAGATCAGTACAAGTTCCATATCCTCTTTTAGACAATTAACCAAAAGACTAAAAATGAAAAACAATCGAATGAAAAGCTAAATGCCACTAGCTAAAACCAAAATACACTTTATAACCCCCTTACACAGCAGCTATCTCCTTGCACACCCGACACTCACTCCCACATAACTGACCAATAACTAACTGGTCGAGGCTAAATTGTCTTTCTTGCCCTTCCTTTGATAAAATGCTATAAATGGTGGCCTAACAGTATGTTTACACGGATCACAATGCCCAACATTTATATGGAAAGGAGTGGCAAAGTTGAATGCATTAAGACAGGTCTTAATTTGATTCGAAGAGTCTTAACCCAAAGTTCGAAAGGATCTTGATTCAATGTATTTTCATAGCTCGGTATGACTAGTGAGTGCATATAAAACAGTATATCCAGTTTAGATGTTAAGTCAATAAATTTGACAATTTCAAGAAACAATTGAGTTGAGACTACATACATTGAAGTCCATATATGATGCATGCATGGCAAGCCATTCACGATCCATCAGTTTGAACGTGATACAATAAAGGAGGTCAAATGCCGAATCATTTTCTGTCAGGAAAAGGGCAAAACTTGGATTAGCAAATATAAAAATTAAAAAAAGAAGAAAAAAAAAAAGAAAAGAAGAGAGATGCTTGTTCCACATGTAAAATTCTACATGATTGAAATCATCCAAGAAGATTTCCTATACCCAATCGTAAAGTATATTTGTAACGCAGAAATCACAAGCAGGAAAATAACTCACTTAATAAGCATGATTTTCATAAAATATTTATTCATACATTCAATAAGGTGGTTGCACATACCTGCAAGAAACTTCAAGAATGTTGCTCCCACAAGTGTCCGTGGCTTGACTGAAAATATCATTTCATGGCATTTCCACAAGTTAGGACCCTAGAATTCTGAATAAAAGAACACTATTTTTCCGTTGAATAGATTGATTAATATAGATAGCAAACCTGCTTCAAGATCAAGCATTTGAATAAGCATGAATGTGATGTTCACCCCAGCTACAGCAAATGGGTATTCCCATAAAGACCGATCTCCTTCTTGCTTTCGAAGGAGATCCTGGAACGACTTCTGTAATGATGTCCAGAAACTTTAGTGTTAAAAGACAGCAACTAGAAGCATAAATGCGTTGTTTATGCATAAATCGACCACATTAATATCTTTTTTTTTTCTTTTTTGTAAAATATTCACATGCATACACTCATGAAGTAATAATAATCTGGGTTCCTCTGTCAAAATCAGTATGTTTGATTTCCATTTAATAACCTTGTTTTTAAGCTTCTTTTTTTTTTTTTTTTTTTTTTTTTTTTTTCAAAAGGAAACTAATCAAGGCTCAAAGAAGTTTAAAGCAAGGTAAAAAAAAGTTTCATACCGGGAAATTCCTGGCAAAGAACAATAAGTTCTCCAATGAAATAAAACCACCACCCCTAGAGATAAAATCCAATTAATAAGAGTTACACAGCAATAACGTTTGTAATAAATTATAAGAGCTATTCATGTCAAGTATGAAGCAACGACGTAAATCTGATTACCTAAAATCTGTTGATGGATCCTTTCCTTGCCAGCCCATTTCCTTCCACTGCTCAGATATCAAACCACGAAGTTCTTCCTCTGGGAATGCCACATTCCATAGAGCCCTTAGAGCCTCCTATTAAGAGTCCAGATCATCATAAAGGAGAAAAACTAAACAAAATAATCTCAAGTTCTCCCTCCACAAGACACACACACACAATCTCCCTACATTTTTTAACATCTTATAGAAGGACAAAAAACGTTGTGTAGATAACAAACCTGGTGCTCAGGGATTGAATTATCATAGGCAATATCTATGCGGTTCTGCAGCGTCTGCAAGCATTCCTCCTAATAAAAGAACCAACATGTGCTATGATTTTGAGATACAAATTCTAATTAAAACAGTTAATAAAAAATGATCTTAAGAAGAAGAACAAAAGTAAAGCTCCGCATGCGACAACTTCTTAATACAATTTGTTCTCTTCTAGTAAGGAGTTTAAATTTTCTCAAGATTCTACTTACCCCTGGTACTTATTGCTACTATTTAAGATAATAATTTCTTTAGCAAGAAAGATTCTTCAGTTTATTTTTCCTTGTTTTGCTTTTAGCCACCCAAGCCCTCAACCTAGTCTCCTTTTTCACTCTCTATACCCCCCTCGCACCACCAACCAGCTCATTTCAAATTCTCCACTCTTCCAAACCAAATCTCGCTCACTATCCAAGTCATCCCTCATCTCCATATCTCCCTCTTACTAAGTCCCCCCTCCCCTTCATTTCTATTCTCTAGATCTCCATACAACCATCCGATCCGCCCCCATCCTCCCACTTCCTAGATCTGCCTCTCACTGTCACACACTCACCTCGTCTCCACTTTCAAGACCTCACATTTAACTATCACCTACCCTTGTTTTAGTCAAGTCACCCATCTATTGCTCATCTCCAACTCATAGAACCCCTCGGCCATTCAACTATTAACAATTTTTTTTTTTTTTAGTTCAGCAACATTTCTACACTCTAAATTATCTCCCTACAACTTTCAATCGCCCCCATCCTCCCCCATCCTAGATCTGCCTCTCCACTGTCACGCTCACCTTTCTTTGTTTAAGCTGAATCACCCTCTCATCTCCACTTTCAAGACCTTACTTTTAACTATCACCTTCCCTTGTTTTAGTCAAGTCACCCATGTATTGCTCAGCTTCCAAACACTTTGAATCAAAATAATAGTTATAATGAGGCTTCTTCCCGTTCAATTGAAATTGAAGCTAAAAGTCACCAAATGCATAAAGTTACCTGTGCAGGAGTTAAGTCAAATGATGGACGTGCATCACTTTCTCTTCTCTGTGCACAAACGCAAGAAAGACCCCGGCCAAGCCATGCAGCTGATCCTGCCACAACCTCAGCTGAAATAAAGCAAAAGCACATCAGCAATCAATCTATCAATTACCAAGTCCTCTAATCCTGTAGACAGCCATTTAAAAGTATATCATAAAAATATAAGACAAGCAAAAGTTCAAGCATATGCTATTGAACTTAATCCCCTTGCTATTTGCTATCCAGCTAATTCATGGTTACCCGAGCTTGAATATATGGTAAAAGTATGTCTTTCAGAAGTTCCATGAAAAGTCATGATTCATGAAAGGGCGACCAGTACAAGTTTCTGACAACTGACTATGAGGATCCTAAAATGGAAAAGATATTAGATAAAGATAAGGAAAATAGTTTCCCGCAGCAAAGCACAATTAAAATGGAAACAAAAGAGAAGTAGAGAATATTGTCATATTAACACACATGATAAGGTGGAGAGAGCTATTTTCCTGTTTATGCTAGAAAAAAAACCCAAGTTTGCAAAACAATTAACAGCACATAACACATACTGAGAGGACTAATGTACCACAAAGAAGATTTGATGATTCTTACACTTTTCCTTCCTTACTCGTGATTAGAACATGGAATGCAATTACTTGGGAATATCTCCCTTTACACAACAGTCAATTAAAAAACAGGGGAAAGTATTGAGTAAAAGTGGGGAGAGATCTTGACTGATTCCAAAGACTCCGATTGTAATTGCAGAATATTTCTCCCACAAGCAAAAAACAACATTCTATATGGCACAGTAAGAAAATTAAAATAAATTTTATATTTACTATATAGCACAGTCAACAATTAGAATATGCAGTAGAGACAACGCCATCAACGAAGAAAACACGCAAACTACAAAAAGGAGTTTGAATCATGTCAAGCAACTAAGGCAAGCTTGAGTCCTGCCATCACGTTCATCCAACAATCAACCGTACATCGGAGAAAATAATAATCTAATCAGACAGAAACGTGGTTAATTAATGAGTTTCATGATTTCTGCCAGAAAGATCTTTAGCTTCCACAAATTTCAGTTGACGACGTCCAACGCAATAAAAAAATATTTAAAATACGAATATCAAAATCACAAACTTCTGGTACTTGATCACAAATAATACATACGATGAAGGAAGAGTCGGAAGGGAGTTGAAAAAATTTAAATTAAACTTTTAAATTTGTAAGAAAAAAAATCCCACTGAGTAGACCCACCGATACAGATTTGAAACTCAGCAATCATGAAGCCAGTACGAGCCTCACTATAAGCAGAGCTTACCGCACATTACTCAACTTCAAGACATAGATCTAAAATTCTAAACCAAAAAGTAAAACGTGAATTATGAATAAGATTTTTTTTTTTATAAAAAAAAAAAAAAAAAAAAAAAAAAAAAAAAAAAAAAAAAAAAAAAAAAAAAAAAAAAAGAAAGAAAGAAGAGAGAGAGCAAAAGAGAGAACTTTTCAGCGAAAGAAAAGCGAGAACGAAAATTCTAATTTTAATGTAAATAACAGTAGAGAGAGAGAGAGAGAGAGAGAGAGAGAGAGAGAGGCGGAAATTAAAGATAATATTCACCTGAAGTCGAGTGACAAGTATTTCCTCGCTCCAGACCTTGAGAAATCCTCCTAACAGCAACAAACGATCCACCACCTCTATCGTCCATCTCCCTCACCCCGCCGCCTCTGTCCGTCACTCCACCACATCCATCACCAGCACCACAGAAAGCTCCCACACCTTATCCACACAATAAAACCTCTGGAAATGGACATTCATCCACCACAATCGAGAAACACAAAAGCAATCAGAATCATAGCATGAGAAGAAACAATATCCAGAATCACAGAAATCAATGATAAAGCAAAAAAGACTCAAAATGCATAAGGAAAAAAAAGAAGCAAACAGGATCCAAAGAAGTACACCAATAGAGCACAATCACGGCAATCAGAAACAACAAACGATACAATCAAAGGAGGAAAAACGGCGGCGAGAATGGGGCGTTGATGGATACCAAGGAGAGAAAACATAAACACGACGAATCAAAGAGGAGAAAAAGGAAAAGGAATAGGAATAGGAACCTGGCAAGCGGCTAGGGCTGGAGCAAGATCTGAGACTGAGAGTCCATGGAAGTTGGTTGAGAGGTTGTTTGTAATGAGAATGTGTATGGATTCCCAATTCTATTATCTTCCTCTTCTTCAGCCGTTTCAAAAAGCGCCTTTGTTTAGGCTACTACCTTTTTCTTCTTCTTCTTCTTCTTCTTCTTATTATTATTATTATTATTATTATTATTATTATTATTATTATTATTATTATTATTATTATTATTATTATTTGGTTGGGGGAGAGGAAGAGTTTTAAAATTGGAAGCAACTCTACACGATTAAACAAATGGAAACCCAATTTTTTTCTTTTTTTCCTCTTTTGTGGGAGAAAAAGGCCTTAATCAAAAAATTATTTAAGTTATTATTTATTTATTTATTTATTACATCATTAAAGTATATATTATTGATTAAAACCACTTCTATTTTTGACACCCGAGGACTCTACCAACATGATATGTGAGGGGCCCAATCCACCTCTTCGGGGCCAGCGTCATCGCTAGCACTCTTTTCTTCCTCCAATTAACTTGGGACCGCCACCAAATCCACCTCTTTTGGGGCCTAGCGTCCTTATTGGCACACCGCCTCGTGTCTCCCCCCTTTAAAGAATAGTGAGAAAGCTGACACATCATCTAATGTTTAGCTCTAATACCATGTTAGATAAACACGACTCTCTACAATGGTATGATATTGTCCACTTTGAGCATTAGCTCTCATGGTTTTGCTTTGGGTTTCCCAAAAGTCATCACACCAATGAAGATAATATTCCTGGATTATAAACTCATAATCCTTCCCTAAATTAATATGAGACTTTCATAATCAAATAGTAAGGACGCAGGTCTCCAAGGGAGTGAATAGAGAGATCCCAGTTGAAGGACGGTGGGTCCCCAAAATGTGGATCCCAGACAGTTGGATGGAGAGATCCGAGACAGAGGTAGTTACCACGTGCTTCCTACGAAATAATTAACATTCTTTTATTTCTTCACCCTTTTCTTATATTAATCCATTGAAAATTAAATTAAAAAAAATATTTTCTTATTTTAAGGATTACGTGCATGAAATAAATAATAACATTTTAAATACTTATTTTTGTATTAAAAAAATTAATTTTGACCCTTTTATAAAGTGGTTTTCAAAATTTAAGATTCATATCTTTCTATAAATAGTTTTATATTTTAATATAAAATATAAGATTAATTTAAGATAAGAACAAAAATAATAATAATAATAATAATAAAGTATTATTTTAGACATTCTAGTATGCAACATGTGGGGAGGCACATGAAATTCTTAATTTTATTTTGTTGTATAAAAAACTTTGTTTAATAAAATTAATTAAAATATTTAAATAAACTTAGTACATTATTTCATTTTATATTAATTTATATCCATAAATTAATTAAATATTGAATTGTATTAAAATTTTGTTTTGTTAAAAAAAAAGTAATTCTTTTTGTAATTAATATATATAATTAATTCTATGACATCTTAGCTATATTATTTAAAAATTATTTCAAAATTAGCTTATCAAATAATGGGACATCCAAACATAATAAAAGAAAAATAATTTAAATAACAATATATTTATAAAATAAAAAACCATTTAATTGGTGGATTTCTATAATTAAAAGGGTATAATGGTGAAATAAAATTGTAGGTGAACAAACCATGCGAATCTAATAATATTAAATTAAAATAAAAAATTAGGTGTTTATTTAATGAAGATAAGTAAGGGGCTAATTCAACTCTTAAGTAACGTTCTAATTGAATGCACCTAATTTTTGCTTTTTAATAATTTAATAATATTATTATTTATCCCTTCACTTTAATAAAGATGAGTACGTGGCTAATGCTACTATTAAATTTATATAATAATTATAGAAAAATCTAAAAGCTTTTACATTAAAAAAAAAAACATAAAATAAAATAAAATAAAATAAAATTTCTTTACGTGGTTCCCTTTTTACCCTTTAATTTATTTACAAATTATTTAATAATAATAAAAATAATATATGGTAGAGTAATAGTTTTCCAAAATTATTTGGATCGGTTGAATTTAGACTCAGCGTAATATTCTTAATTAAAATACTCTATATTTTCAAGTGGGTCTGATCATAATTCACGTATATAATAATGAAATAGAGAAAAAAATTTGGGGGAGAAGTCCAATGTTATTGGAGACTAGATTGTGTGAAATCCCACATCGGTTGGAGATACCTCTCCCTAGTATATGCGTTTTAAAACCGTGAAGCTGACGACGATACATAATAGGCAAAAACGGACAATATCTACAAGCGGTGAGCTTGGGCTGTTACAGATTGTGAATTGATTTGGTGTCATTATTCGGGTTAATTTAGCCCAATGCCACACGTGGGTCACCATTTGGAACCTTACATTGTATGTGGGTCACCATACAGACACTCTCGGTCATCGAAAAAGTCACGTTAATTCTTCGTTAATAAATAATTAAAGAAAAAGCTAACAAGAAACCGAAATGGAACGAAATACAGATTTGGAAAACTTAAAAAACCTAAATGTAATCTATCTCATATTTAAAAGAATGGTGGAGGTGAACTAAGCTTAATCAATCATTACAAAAGTTGGTTGAATTTTGCATTAGTTAAGAGGATGAAATAAAACGCGTAGCGAGACGGGACCCTATAAGGTTGGAGGAGAGGAGGAGGAGGAGGAGGAGAAGGGGGAAAAGAAAAGGCATAAGCACATGGAAATGAAGCTGAAAAAGTGAAGTATTATAAGATAGTTTGCTTAAAGGCACGCAAAGGAGAGGCAACAAGAAAACAACTTTGTTGGGAATGTCTAATTGAGGTGTGGAGTGGACCATTCTTTTGGTTAACCAAAAAAATAAAAAATAAAATAATAATAATAAAAAATAACCATTTAAGTTTGCCAGCATTATTGTCTATTTTGACCGTTACTTATAGTGTTAGCCTCACAATTTTAAAACATCTATTAGTGAAAGGTTTTTACACATTTTTAAGAAATATTTCGTTTATCTCTTCCACCATGAATAAATCTCATAAAAAATTACGATGTTTAAAGAAAGAATGAAAAAAAAAATGAAGGAAGTTCTAGAGATTAAGAAAAGACAGACGGGGATTAAGAGGAAATTCAAGTAATAAAAGAAAAATGAGTAATTATTGTAAACAAATAGTTTTTGTTGATATTAATACTATTCTTAAAAATTTATATATGTTTGTAAAACGTGATATTAATAATAAAAAAAATAAAATTACTCATATTTTTCAACAAAATTAAATATTTTTTAATTTTTTTTTGAGATTTAAGAGGGAGAATATAAATTTTTGCCGTATATATTAATTTAGTCGATTATTTATTAGGGTTTTTTTTTTCTTTGCCCAATATTTTTGTTTACCAGCATCCCATGTGCTTCTTCTCCCTTTTTACTTTGGGTCTTCATTATATTTCTCCATTCAATGATTTCTGTTCTTATTTTCATTTTTATTCTCTATTTATTTATTTTTTTTATTCTCTATAATTTTTTTTTTTTTTTTTTTTTTTTTTTTTTTTTTTTTTTTTTTTTTTTTTTTTTTTTTTTTTTTTTTTTTTTTTTTTTTTTTTTTTTTTTTTTTTTTTTGTTGAAGCATGGAAATGATTTCCTTTATAATATTATCTCTTTGTCTCTCAATTGGCACGTAACGACCTGTTCTTGTCACTAGAGCAATTCAAATAGTCGATGTATTTAAGGGACCCTTGTACCCAACCCACAAAACTAGTCACGGATATTTTAACTTTAATTATTTTATTTTATTTTGGAATTATGGAGAGAGGGAGAGAGGAGAGGATGAGAGTGGGATGTTTGATTAACAAAGCACAACTAAGAATGTGGGGGAAAAGATGTTGGGTGAGTGTGTAGAAGAAGAAAAGGAAGAAAATAAAAGAAAGGCGTTGGGCTTTTCACTTTTCTTTTCTTTTCTTTTTCTGTTAAACTTTTTGCTTCTTAATGCTTTCTCCACATGTCAATCCACTTTTTTTATATCTTCTTTGTTTTAGAAAGGTTAAACAAGAAAACATGATTTTGGTACCTTATATACATGTTTTAAATAATTTCGAAAGCCACCGTCGAAT